TTAGGGAAGGAAGGAAGGAAACATGATTAGACATATCAAAGGAAATGATATAGCAGTGCTGAAGGGATGGGCAGGGCTTCTTGCAGGGCAGCAAGGAACATGTCTAGTAACACAGGTTAGCTGTATGGCAGGTAGCGCCTTGCTGATCCAGGCGGAAGAATAAATCCCATGGATCATCCTCCACTTGCTCTGTATTTGTCAGCATAGCAGAGATGTGGAAAAGGGTTAGATTACCAAAAAGAGGGAGAGGGGATTATTAAACCATACACACTGATGAGCTCTTTTGAGAATCTGGCTGTTAACAGTGGTACTGAACTTGTGCTATTTTGAGGCTCTGGCCTATCTGATCAAGTGTTGACTATTTATGCTGAATATTCCCTTAGGGTGAAAAAGTTCTTTAAAGCAGAGGAAAAAGAAATACCAGAATTTACCGTTAAATTCACAGCTGTTTTAATAGAATGAACCTTTGAAGAAATCTAATGATTTCTTCAAAGTTTTCAATATGAGTCATGAAAATGGTGCTTAAGTGTGCTAGTGCTTTGAAAGGCAGAAGTGTACTAGATTCTGCTGTTTGCCATGGGAAAAGAAAAGAAGGTGAAGTTCAAGTAACAGCAGGTACCATGGGTGCAAGATTACTCTTGTGCTGTGCTGATAACTCATCTGTCTCTATCTGATTCTGTTTGCAACAAACCACTGTGATAAACCTTAGTTTATAGAACTGGCCATCACTACTTCTGCGAATCTTTCCTGGACAACTGCTTTGCATTGTGAAAATTAATTACTGCCTGCAATTGTATTGTGCAAATTCCTTATTTGTTCAGCCCATTTAGGCACGCTTTCTTGTAAAATGTCACAGCACACTGTTCCTTCTCACCGAGAAAAATACAACTGTCACACTGTCAAATAACTTTTTTCTCCCACTATCAAAAGAAATAAGCAAAATAAAGGATCAGTTTCAAACCAAGAAAAGTACCCCAGGAAGTAGGCTGGAGGCAATTAATTACTTGTCAGCATCTCCCTCAGATCTGCATAATGTAGAAAAGGTGCCTGTTTAGCTTTGTTCTGCCCTTTGTATTGCACTACTCTACTCCTTTCCCGACAATGTCCATCAGTCTGGCATCTGAATGCCTGCTAAATGTTGGTACATCAGGCCTGCTCAATCAGGTTCTCCGCTGGGATAATTCAGCATAACCCATCTGAGGCTGATGTGTTTCTTCTGATTTGTATCATATTAGATCCACTGCTTTTTACCTTGGGAGAGAGGAGTATTAGTGTGCATTGCTCTCTCTGTGTGCAAGCTGATGACGGCTGTTAGCGTATGGATGTGCTTTTCATCCAGCCAGTCACACACAGGAGCAGATGTGAAAACCCAGAGGTATACCCAGACAGAGGCATATAATCCTTAAGCACAGAATTAGCCATGTGTGCATGTACATAGGCCTATACGCAAAAATAGATGCAGGGATTTGAAATTCACATCTCACATCTGACCATGTATGGACACAGTCCAAATGCCATTACAGTCGTCTTTAGCAAGATTGCTTTCTTGCTCTTCCTTTCTCAGCTACATGTGCATAGAGGTATAAAAGCGTGCGGCAAGGAGACAGCCTGCTCTGGGGGATGCTCCTCTAGGTGCTGATGTATTGCATACAGGAGCAGACCCATCAGCCGTGGCCCCATCACTTCAGGAAAGACGGAGGCTCGCCAGTGTTTCGTTGCTGGCAGTGCGCTTATATCACATGGCCTTTGACAGGTCACTGCTCCCCGGAGAGCAGATACATAATGCAGGAATGCACAGTCGCTGGAGGGCTCATGTGGTTCTCATCAGCATCCCAACCCTCAGCGGGTGGGACTGCTCTCCCACACATAGCTTTCCAGTGTGTCAGCACCCCTGCATGAAGCCATAGGCTGGCTCTGCTCATCTTCCTCAGCCGGCCTGGGGTGGTGGAGTTTACAGCAGGTCAGATGCTGTGCCTCCTTGAGTCACATAGTGACAGAGGCACTTGCTTACTTGCCAGATTTTCTCTCCCCCAGAGTGTTTCTCAAGTTTCCACTTTGATTTTCTGGCCAGCTTTTCCTTCTCTGCCCTGTTAGGATGACCTGAGTGTGCTATCCACCGCACTCCCACGTCTGCCTCCTGACCTGGCAAGGAACATGTCAAACTTTAGGTCTCAGAGCCACAGTCTGTCCAGCTAATGGGGCTCTGAACACACAAGTTTGTAGTCCACACTGCCCATAGTAACTCTGTGGTGCTTTGTCTTGCTGGTCCGTTATTGTAGTGAATGCTGTCCGGGTAAAAGATTTTAGCAAATACACCTGTTTTTTAATTACATTGTTCCTGCTACTTACGGACCTTTTTGCTACCCTCTCATTATTTATTCTGCTGTTTTAAATAAGGTGCAACTAGGATTTTTGTTATTGAGGTTCTCTTTAAAGTGATTGGAGAAAGATAGGTTCATTCAGATAGAAACTGAGATTTTTTTAATGGTCCCAATCACTTGCTGGACCTCTGCATGGGCAATGTGGGGAGGTTAACATGACTAATATGCTAACATCATCTAGCACTGAATTCAGGTCGGGCTGAATATGGGTGCGTTTGTCCATGATGCTGTTGAGCCCTACTAGCATCTAGGAGAGATACACTGGCTTTGCAAGTGCTCTGAGTAGAAAGGATGGTACTGGGGCACTGGCGCAGAGGTATGCCAAACTTTGGATGCTTCCAGCAGCACTTGCAGGCTGTTACGTGCTCAACAAGAAGGCAGCTTTCACGTCTGTCCCTTGCTGGTAAGTTTCCCCACTGTGGGGATTTATCAGCTGGAAAGCTGGGGTGGCCAAGCAGTCTGTGACTCTCCGTTTCCTTTCGCAGTCCACATTGAGAAACGAAGGTATTCCAACCCTGAGACCTTGGTGCATATCTGCCAGTTTAGCTGGGACTCTAAATCAGTTTCTTGCGTGTCAGTGGGCCACAGCTTGCAGGAAACAGGTGGGCACCGGGGAGCAGTGACTGCCGGACCATGCACACAGGGGTAAACGAGCACATTGGCGCACATGAACTCCGAGGGACCGTGTTTGCAGATACACATCCCAAAGGAGACTTGCATTCACGTTCCCCATGCTCTCACCTCAATGATATAGTCTTTTCCATCTTTGCTGTGGACAGCTTTGACAGCGCAGATGTCAAGACCTCCAAACATTTCCGCACAGGCATCCGCCCAGAGTCTGTACCTGCAGAAACCACAGAGGCATGGCCAAGGATTAGCTGCCATTGGGTAGTTCACCAAATACAGCCACCTGTCCCTCTGCCCATAAGAGTGCAAAGAGATTCGGGAACCCTTTTTATCATAAGGCAGACTTCATATGTTCTGCTGGGGCATTGCCTGCCTCTCTTGCACAGGAGATGGAGCAAAACCAGAAGAATCTTGCCTAAAGTTTCCCTTCATTTCAGATTGTTTCAAGCCTGCCCTCAAAGCCACCTTAAAATGTTTCTTTCCTTCCTTGGTATTTACATCAAATCTCCAGTTGGTTGTCCTTTAGCCAAGCTATAAATATTTAGCTCATTTAATCTCCCAGTAGTGTTGGCCCCTTAGCGTTTGTATTGGCTTTGCCTGAAAGCCCTCCATTATGCAGGCAGCTTTCTCCTGATAAGATGTCCTGCACACTGGGGCTGGAATAGGATCGGAAAGTGAGTGCAGAGTTTAGCAGGGAGTAGCCATCCCCTTCCTGATCTGTAACCCTGCGGCTCCTGCTTTTTACAATTTACTCTTTCAATTTCATCCTTTTACAGTCTCCTGCCTCCCTTCTATCCCCTGCGCGTTGCTCCTAGCCAGGCGCCCCTGTCACACGGACCAGGCACTGCTTTGTCAGAGGGAGACCTACAGGCTGTATCCCTTTTCTCTAGCCATCCCAGAATGGGAACGTGAGCTGGTATGAACAGGGGCCAGGCCTGGCGGGCCTCCCCTTAGTTATCCTGGTATCAGATGAGGAGAGAGAATGACAATAGGCATATTATGGGGGGACTGCATCCCCACGCTGTGGAAATAAGGAGGGAATGAGGCGGCCTGGTTTTATTTCCTGTGCAGCTGCGCTGCAGTCCTGACTATTTCAATAAAAAGAATAATCTTAGAACAGCAGATCTGTAAGCAGGACTACGACAAGATGAGGGAAGGGGAGGGAAGGCCACAGTCTCATGAAAACACTGACATTTTGCAGACCCTACAGGGACTGGGAAAAGAGCTGTTCTGGCCAAAGAACAAATTTATGTCCTTGAGGGCATCCAGAGTCCCCATAGCTCGACAATATAGTGATCAACTTGTGTGAACACAATGTCTGTGGGAAGAAGCAAGAATATGGCTTATATGACTATCGGTGTGCTCTCATCCCTAATGAGGAGACCAAGCACATTCACCTCAACCCCCCTGAGGAAGACAGCACCTGAGGAGGAGTCAGTAGCACAAGGACGAGGAGAACTATGGGCCCCGTGAGCCAGGCAGCTGGCAGAGCAAGCCCTCCTCGTGCACTGCTGTGGCCCCACACCCAGGGGCACCATTGTGGGAACCACCGCTCTTACTGAGGGATATCTCTAGGTGTCTCGGTTCAGGAGCCAGGCCAGCAGCCAGGCTCAGGGAATTGTTGCTCATGCCAGAGACCCTGATAGCTATGTGTCTTCAACATTGCTAGCCTTGAGTGAGCACTGGGAGGCATCACGGCTGCTGGGGTGGAATAGCAGTGCTATGGGACAGAAGAGTGTATTTATGCATATGCATCAGGGGTAGCATTTGCAGAGGATTTACTGCCATTTTGCCTAGTATTACCTGAACCTGCCAATCCTTTGGGCTACTGTTCAATACAGTAGATACTTTCAGCACACTCCTGCCCTGTTGCATGCACTGATGACTCACAGATTTCGACGTGATTTGTTGCATTTATGACTGGATAAGGCTAGAGTGGTGAATTGTTATACTACATCTATAAAATGAACCTTCAATATGCAGCATGCTAGCAGGAATCTGGGTTTTAGTCCTACAACACTGCAATGAGGGAATGTCTACCCTTCATCTCTCTAGCTTCAGCTGTGTTACAACCAACCAGGATGCATAATAATGTCCAGTTCCCACAGTCCTATTAGGGTCTTGCAGAGTCACCTTCAGCATCTGATTTGGGGCTTGGCTTGGCTTCCCTGTTTCACAGAACTAAAGGTGCAGAAAGGACTGTAGATGATCACCTGCACAACTTTCGTACCCCAAAGAGGAGATGTTTCTTTGATCTGGTCTGAAAGAGTACAGAGATTCCCCATGTCCTCCAGGCAATCCATTTCTGTGCTATGCTATCCTTACTGTTAGGAAATATAGGAAATGTTCAAATGAACCTTTTCTGCTACAATTTAAGCCCATTATTTCTTACAGTATTATATTAGTAATATAAAGAGTGACTAATGCCCTATTAGCAGCCTTTTACATATTTGAAGAGCTTGTGCCCTTTAAGTTTTTTTCATCTTTAGGATGAAGCGGTGTTCAGTTTGTGGTTGACTTCTTCCAACTCTGTGACAGCTAATGAAAGAAAGTGAACCTCTGCACTACAGGCATAGATTCATTATGCATGAGTCTACACCTCTACTGGAAAAATATTGGACTGCTAACTGAAAAAGGTGGAAAACTACATAAGCAATTGTTGTATGCTTTTCTCATAGGTTCGTTATGTTTTCTCTGGGTGTTCTCTTTATTGTCCTTTGGCCTCTCTCCAGCTTCTTGCTATTTCTCTTTAAATGTGGTGCCCGGACCTGGACAGAGTCAGAATTAATCATGATCCTGACAAATTGCAGGTATAAACTGAAAAAAAAATAATCTTAGATTTACTAGGGATGAATGCCTACACATAACCTATAGATTCTATAAATCTACAAATAACCTACTTAATAGGATGGAGAACAAGTGACTTGGTAGCAGTTCTGCAGAATAGGGTTTGAGAATTACAGCAAAGCATAAGTTACCATGAGTCAACAATGTCATGCAGTTGCAACATTAGCAAATAACTCAGTGATTTGAATATATGGTAGTACCATCTGCAAATTTTAGTCTGTAAGATGCGTGAGGCAATTCCTTCTCTGTTCAGCAGCAAGAAGACCTTAGCTAAAACAGTGTCCACTTTTGGGAGACCAATGCAAAATAGTGCTTTCAGCACTTCAGCTGACAGATTTTTCCCTGTGTTGAGCAGAAGAAAAACACTTTTCTGTGTCTGCCTCTCATTAGTAATGTACTTAGAATAACTTCTTGTTACTTCTTGTTTTGTGCTGTGACCTTTCTGATTTTATCCCTACATGTTTGTGCTCATGTGCTTGACCTTAGCATGCTGGTCTTGTTTCCTGTGGCTACATTCACTAAAGATCTAATGATTTAGCAATGTTGGTCTCTAGCTGTACTTCCAGTCTGTTCTCCAAAATAGGACAGTTTGCCTTTGTGCCCTTAGTATTTTTTTAAGGAAACACTCGGTCTTTCAAACTCCTTTATCCAGCCTCCTGGGAGACCTCACTTACCAGTTCTCTCAATTAACCAAAGACTGAAATACAATTCCTCCCTTCTAACCCAAGAATAGCTAATACTGTCTTGAAACCCTCTTCCTTACCTCTCTGTCATTGCAATCTGTTCTAGCATCGCAGAACCTGTGTTTGCCTTCCAGTTGCCAGAGATGGACGTCCTCCTAGGAAAACAAACCAAAAAACATAACCCGAACATGAAAATACACTCCTGCCCCATCCTCTCTCATACTGTAGTCCTCATTCTTGACTCAGTGCTTGTACAGGAGAGGATGAGGCGAGGTTCTTCCTCATAGAAACCTTTCCAAATCCTGCCTCAACAACACTCCATACAGGATATGTTGTTCAGACTCAAGAAAAACTGAATGAGGAGTTAGACAGGGAAACCTCCAAGGAATCTTGAGCGCACATCAAGCTCTGTGAGTACTTTCTTTCTTTATACATCAGGCCTAGGAGAGCTGAAATGTCTGTAGAAGATCTCTGGGATAATCACCCTTGTGTTCTGCAATGGGTAGCATCCTCCATCCATGGAAGAGCAACTCTCCAAGCATACATCTCCCTGAGCAGCTTCACAAATGTCACTCTGACATTCTGGGTCTCCCTAATTTTGATTGCAATTGTATTGTGTCATAGAATATATCATTATACTCCCTTTTCAATGACTTTTCATTGACCTGTCTGTGGCTCACTGTTTCTGGACTTGGAGAATTTAGAATTGCAAAATTGTTGGAGTCTTGTTAGCTGCAACTGATGGTTAATTTCCAAAAAAGCTACTGTTGCTAGCAAATCCTTGGTTTCACCATCATTCATCAAAGGGTGAAAATTTTCCTTTTCTTAACCTTAGGCACAAGGCAGACCTTGGATAGCCTGCTGTGACAACACTGTGCAGATAACCCTGGCATAGTGTACAAGCTAGGACAAGTCAGCAAGCTGACAGGATACATACAGGGATCATCTCCATGTTGAAGGAGATTTAGGTAGAGATTTAGGAGGGGAGTATGAGGTGTGATCCAGGACTTCAACATGAGGTCGTGGGAAACCTCCTTGCCAGTTGTCTCACCTTTTCAACATGATGTGGAAAAGAGACTCTGAACTTGCAAAACTATGTGAAGCAGTGGTAATACTGATGTCCTGCTAGGCTGTAAACCTGGATCATTATAGCTGACTACTTAAGGTACCCCTTTACTCTGGTGAGGGACAGCCTGATGTCTTTTTTCCATTTCTCTTGTGAAGTGGTATGTATAGTTGCGTGAAATTTAATGGTCTTTGTATCCCATATTTAAAGGAGTGGGAGGGCAGCCAAAGGAACATGATTACTGTGTTCAATAACTGTATTTCCATATAGTTGACTCTTGTCCCTTGTCCCCTTCACCCAACATCCATCTTCCTGCCCTACTTTCTAAGCAAAAGAATGGATTCCTCCCCAAACTTTGATTGTTATGAACACTTTGATGGCCTGTAAGGTCAATGTTCAGCCCTCAGCCTCTCTTTTTCTTTTGACATGGGATTCTTAGGATTATGTTTTTAAGTTCTGCAATGAGAAGAACCACTCTTATATTAACATTCAGTTCAGAAAATTGCCCTGCAGTGGCAGATGGCATCCAGAATCCCATTAGTACTGATGAGAACTCCCAGAATCTGATTAGTGACAAGATGATTGGATATCAGTGTTTAGAAAATGTACCTGGCATACCAAATGTAAGCAGCTGTGTCATCCCTAAGAAGACCAAATCACAGCTACACAGTTTTACAAGGAAATTTGATGTGGGAAAGTGCCAAAAATAGGAACTCTGCTCTGACCATTGGGCTGATTGGTTTGACTTGTTTATGCCTATCCATCTCCAGCCAATATTAGGCATGATACAAAATATTTCTCTCAGCTGTATCCCTAACTTTCCTGTTAGGGAACTTTCTTGTTTTTAAATGGAAAAGCTTCATTTGAAGCCCTCTGGACCAGTCACCAAATTCCTACACCACAGCCTCTGTTAAGATCACTCCCTTCCAAGCATGTCTGAGCAGTTCAGGTGTCAAGTGTGTCACCAAATTATTCTTCTTTCTCAGGAGAAGTAGACCGAAGACAAAGATCTTTAATGCCGTGCCTCAAACCACATTTCTCTCAGGGACTCAAAGTCAAAGTGGTTCCAATCATCCTAAACGTCAGAGGGGCACATCAGTTTACAGTCAGTATCTTAAAGGAAAGGACCCCAGAGTTTTAGGGATCAGCAGATCAAGCAGATTTGTGACCAAGACACCTTCAGCATTGCTTAGGATAAGTGGGTAAACTAGCAGATCATGGGCTGTTGGTGTCCTATACTCACCATCTCCCAGCTGGGCCATTCCAGTCTAAAAGTAGCTCTAGTTTACACACAGTTGAAGCTGTAGCTCCTGCAGAGCATATTGAACTGCATTTGAGGTGACAAAATCAGAAGTCACATTCATGAAACTAGTAAGCAGAGGATATTACCCTCTTACTAAGAGCTGGTGGCAAGGAATATTCCACCCCTGAAAGTCAACAACTGCTGGATTCATTCAAATTGAACAACATTTCACAAGTCTTAACTGGAAATGATCCCTCTGCCCCCAGTTGGGGTAAAGGTGGAAGTATAATTCCTGTCCCAATTTCCCCTGCCACATGAGCAGTATTCATGTTTTCTTTTCACCAGTATTACAATGTCAGTCAAATACATTTGGTGGAATTTTAGGCATGTATCACATGCTGCTTATCTGCTCTTTTGAGACTGGCCTAAGGCATGGGCTAAGTAGGTGTTTGTTAGTAGTGTAAATCTGCAGTCACTGCACTGAAGTCAATGGGAAACTGAACTCAAGCCTTGGGTCATGGGCTGGAAGGAAGTGCATTGAACATCTGGGGCGGGGAGGAATGCATGAGTCACCCTGCAGCATCCTCCCTCTGGCAGATGCTTGGTGCAAAGTAAACATATTCTGGAGAATTTCGGCACACAGTCTTTTCTCAGACAGAAGGGGGCTTTTAAAGTCTATATGTGTGGGTGAAGGTATAAAAATACTGGGTAGATTCCATGGGTCACAGATCAAAGCAATTCACTTAGTACGTATGACACTACTGCAGATGCTGTAATTGCCTTTAAGGCTTGAGATTTGCTAGCATGACTAATGATTTTGAGTCTTCTATTTGAGACACCAGTGAGAGCTCTGATATTTTGGGTGCTTTTACCTCTGTCCTTGGACATAGTAGGGACTAATGATACCTTGGAAATAAGTTTCTATTCTGTCTGATGCTGGGACAGAAGGAGCAGCCCTTGATGGGACTGGCTTTACTGCTATCCCAAGCTCACATCCATAAATGGCTCTCTCAATATAAGTCAACCTTCTGGGTTAGCAAATTGCTGGGTGAATTTTTCTGTTTCCTTTCTTTGCTAATAAACTTCATTTCTCATTAAGGTGTTTCCCGTTCATGGCTGTTTTCATGTGAAAATATTTTTCATTTAGCAAACAATTGTTTGCGCAGCTATATTCCCAAGTGGGATTAGCTCTTAGTGTGACCGTTTTCTTTCCTCAGTCATCTGGTATTATTTCTGATCCCTGTCTGGATGACTGTGTAGTGAGTGTGAATAATAAATGGAGAGAGGATATGGTCAGGCTAACTGGACCTTTGTTTCACTTAGAGGCAGGCTGGGAGCAGGCTCTGGAGCCAAGGCTGGGTAGGTTGGCAGGAGTAGGGAATTTTAATTGATATTTTAAACCTTCCTTCCTATGGCCAATTTGAGCCAGACTCCCTGAGACATTAATGTAATATTAGGCAACAGTGCTATTGTTGACCTGATCAGATTTAAAACAAATTTTGTCTCATTGAGTTCACATGAAGTAGCTGAGTGTCCCACAAGTCCATCCCATGAAGAATGTGACTCAGTCATTATCTAGTTTACTTAAATACCTCCGTGCTAGGAATCCAGCCAGGAATTTTAGGCAGCTATAGCTGAAAAATATGTGATCGTGTATATTTGATTATCTTATTTAACTATGTTTCACCAGAACTATGGCCTGGGGGTTTGTAAACATGGGCCCAAACCTCACAGTGTTGTGGGTGTTAGGTAACATGAAATTTATCTGGCGACTTGAAGAATGTACTGCTGGAGCTGTCTACTTGTCCAGAATTTTGTGGCTGGATAAGGAGCTTCTAGAGAAGCTGTGTTATTTGGCTTTTTTTGTCTACTGGCTTGCAGTAAGAAAAAACAGGTGTCTTACAGAGTCATGTGGTTACATTTTTAATTGAGCTTGACGACTACTGAAATTTGGCTGAACGCTTTTTAATATTTTTAAACATACCAGTGTTGAGGGTTGCCTTTATGCCACCCCTCTCACTACCCCACAGGGCAGGGAGGAGCTTTGGGGCACCCACAGAAATGTCTCCCCTTCTCCTCTCCCTCCTTTGTACACTTCAAGGAGCACACATGCAAAATGCCCACGGAAACCCTGCACGCTGGCCAGGCTGAGGCCATTCGTACCTGGTGCCATGTGCTCCTCGTGCCCTTGTGTGAGCGCAGTGCTGTGATCTCCAGCTGGGGAGAGGATGGGGTGTTGCTATGGGTTGAACACCGTAGGACTCCATGAGTTGCAGCTGGCTTTTACTAACATTTTGCCACTCTGCCCCAACCTTTTTTATGGTTTCCCCCAGGTGGGAAGGGCATGGGTTCAGTTCCCACTAGAGGGTACTGGAGGATTTTGCTAAACTGCTGGGAAAGATGAGCCCTTTCACAACAGGATGGACAGGTGATAGCTGATGGCAGAGCACTCTTGTAGTGAGAACTAACTGAAGCTCACATGCAGGTAGAGAGAGATTTACCTTCCAGAAACAATGAGTTGATGGTGAGTTATGGAGAAGATAATCGGTGGATGAGGGATCTGGGTTCAGAGGTTGGAGGACAACAGCAGGGCTATTCTTCAAGGAAATTAAGTCAGCTTCCTACTCCTGCCCAGAGCAGACACCGACTGAATCACATCCACAGTGCTGTCTCCCCCCCCCGACATCTCACTCTGGCATAGCCGTACACTCACATGTAAGCCTTGTAGTTGCTGCCGATTTTCTGGATTCGGATGTCGTATTTGGAGTCAATGAACGGCTCAGTGGTGGCGTAGGTTTTTGCCATGGCCACTATGCTGGCCATGTCCCGGAAGTCGTGCTGGTTCTCAACTTTGACCTTGATTTCCAAATTCCAGTGAAAAAGTGACAAGAACAAAAAGAACAGGAATACTTTGTGAGCAGAAGTCATCTCTGCCTGAATAGCACAATGCCAGTTAAAAACCACACGGAGCTGAGGACAGAGCAGGGATTGTGTGATTTAAAGAGAGAAGTTCCCCAGACCAACCCAGACCAAATCAACCCCTTTTTCCTTCCTCATGCACAAGCCCTGGTAAAGCTGGCATCACGGAGGCAGCTAGACCTTTGCCCAGATGGCTCTTGCTAATGCTCATTGTTCTTATGATGCTTCAGAAAAATATTTGATCTCTTAAGGAGCATTACTTCATTCAAACATTGGAACTATTTCCCATGTTGAGATGGATGAAAACAGTATTTTGGGTGGTCAGGAAATAGAAACCAATGCCAGAAAATCAACAAGAGAGCTGGTTGTCTGCCACCTCAAGGCTTTATTTCCCTGGCATTTCACATTACCCCCTCCGGACTTTCTTGTGAGGAGCGGTGCAGGTCTCCTGGCTGGAAGCAAGCTCTGAAGGAAAAGGATGTTTCTGGGGGAAACTGTGATTCTTGGGGAGATTTGTGTGAGCGTGATGCCATGGGCACATGTATGGGACAGCTGGTTGGGTGTTAGACTTGGGCTGCACTTGGAAATGAGAAGGCAGTGGCTTATGAACTGGAGATTTTCTGAGAAGATGGCTTTTTTTCACAGATTTGTATTCAGTTATGAGAAATGCTCTGTATCTTATGTAAAAAAAAGAAACCGAAACAAACAAAACAGGAAGAAAGAAGGACCAAAACAGTAGAAGCTCTAATGATATGATCAAATCTATAAAAGCTCATTAATTTGGGAGAGGAAAACTGAACAAGCAGGTAGCAAGAACATAGTGGACAACTTCACCTCATTCACAGTATCAACCCCAGCCTTTAGTCTATTGGCAAAAACTTGTTTCGTGCATCAGAGAAACTCGTGCAAATCTTGTTCCTTAGAGCCGGACGGATGCAGGAAGGGTGGATTAATTGGTGGAAAAAAGACCAACACTGTGTGAAAAGAGTGAGCGAGTGACTTTCTTTACGTATTACCTACACTTTGTAGTTTGCTAACACTTTGAGACCACAGTTAGGGATTGCAATCCTGCCTTGCTAAGTGTCTACTTGCTCGTGACAACCAGTTGGTCTCTGCCCCAAAAGAGTTTCCCAGTTGCGTCAGTGTGTGTGTTAAAGGAGGGTGATGCCAGACTATGTGGAGCCGGCTGAAGGAAACGCGTGCAATGGTATTTGGTGATTCTTCGCAAAGAACAAACAAGTGGCTTTACTTATCTGCCTTCAACCATGAGAGGGCAGGAGCCATCTTCACTAGAGAACAGAGGACAAGCTTGTTGCTGACCTGCTTTACTCTGTTTAGATGGTTTTGTGTAAACGCCAGCCATAACATAAGCCAAAGATGCAGCCACATCCTGGTGCAGAAAAGCTCTTGAGAACTGGACAGGTTGTGGGGAAGGTGAAAAGTGCAACTAGTTTGACCTGCGACCATTTCTAGATGCCTGAAAAAGAAGAAAAAGACCTGGTCTTTGCTTGTCCTTTTGCTGAGTGCCAAATACCCTAGTCCCCCTCCCTTCTGCTGTGGTGAGGGTGATGCTTTTCCTATTCAGGAACCACTGAGAAAAGAAGCAGAGGAAGACAACAGTTGTCTGTAGAGTGGGAGGGTAGTGGAAAAAAAAAAAAAAAGAAGTAACAAACACAAAAGGGAATTGTAACGGCAACCATTGCACGTCATCCAGGAGGAACAGCCTTGCTCTGGGCTATGTTTTTCCCCTCTATGTCTGAGCGGGAATGCGTGCGGTGTTGGCTGTTCCTGGCACAGCAGGGCAGGGTGAGGCAGTAGGAAAGCCCCAGAGGCAGCATGGGAGTGTGAGAGGGGAGCACCTCATGGAGGGAGACCCCAGCCTGGGCACGGCTTGCAAAATACCAGAGGGAACAATGCAAGCTGTGTTGGGACCAGTTATTTTTGTTGCACAGATAAGAACGGCACTGGCCTGAATGACATCAAGCAAGAGACTCCCACCCAGATGAGATGATCGCAGGAGGGACTACATGGGCAGGCAACGCACGGTGTTATGACATATTCTCCTGGACCTTTCTGGCAATGGGAAAAGACAAAAGCCATTATATAATGACCTACTTGGAACAAGGACATTTGTGGGATCTGAAACAAAGCGTTGCACTTGTGCAACAGATGTCTTCGGGCCCCAGCTGAAATGTTTGCATTCCCAGCCCAGGAACATTTGTCTCAGAGGCAGAGGAACGGGATGCTGCTTCCCTTTCCAGATTGGAGTTAGACTGTATTGTTATTGCTAGAAAGGAGCTGTATGCTCATATTGTTAAATGGGATTTTTTCCTCAAAAATACAGCATGCTATGGAAAGGAAGGCTCCTCTTCATCACGCTCTCCCTATGGGGAGAGAGTTTTCTCCAATGGGCCTGAGGATTTTTGGCTGGGTAAATAGTTAAAGAGTGGGGGGGCTCACTGAGGGCACAAGGACAGACATGAAAAACAAAGAAGATGACTCCCACAGTGCTACACCCCTGCACAGTCCTCTGGAAACAGTTCTGCCATCTTCCCTGGCCCGTGCCAGAGCCCTTTCCGCAGACTTTTCAGAGAAAGCACCTCACAGCGGTCCCCTTTTAGGAGATCATGGCCTTATTTCCCACCCGGCATCAAAATAATCAAATTTCATCAAAGCTGAAATCTGAGCCATCGTTTGTTAATTGTTAGAGATGGCCAAATTTGACAAAATAACAGCCATGTCCTGGGTTAACGCTGGTTTAGTCCAGTGTACAGTTATTACTTCATAAACAGGAAGCACTCAAGTTAGAGTCAAATTAGATTTATGTTCCTGCCTTATCTATCAAGTCCACCATTTCATTAGCTTTCTACTTTTAAATTTTGTATAATTCATTTCCTCCTGCCTTGTAACCCTTTTACATGTCAATAAAATATCCATTTTCCTAGCAGGAGAAAAAACCCTAGAGATAACCAAAGCCAGGGTGGATGTAGTGTGACGCCAGAGGGCATTATTTAAGAAGTGACTATTAAAAATCATTCTAGAGCAAACAGTTACCAATTTACCTAATGAGGGATAAATCTGTCTTCTAAAATGACAGGTTGGCCAATGCATGAAACTGAGAAAAGAAGTTGGACAGAAATCAACAGGAAGCCACTATTCTCTCTCTCTCTCTCTCTTTCTTCTTTGCACCCTTCTTAGGATAAATGCAATATCCCATTAGCTGCGTAGAGGAGTGCAAACAGTGAGTGCAAACACAGCCCCTGCCCTGGCGGCCTGTTTGTTTAGCTGTGCTGGCTGTTTGAGCAGCAATAGACTCATTCTGGAGACATCAGCTGCTGTTTGCTGTAGCGTTTTAGTGACCTGTTGTGAAGAGTTTGGGCCAGTGTGTTGACAAATGCCTTTTCTGAGTAAGAAAGCTCCCCAGGAGAGTCCCTGCTTCCCTTCTGGATCTCTTCTCTAACTCGGGCACCAGCCATGCCCTAGCACTCTCCCTGTCGCTGCAGTGGAGCAGGAAGTCTGGCTGGACCCCTGGGGATATGCTTACACAGATGTGACTATCTCTTTGCCCATGGTGGCATCTCAGAGGCTGATACTATGTGACCTACAGCTGGTGCCGTTCCCATCCTTGGCCTGCTCAAGAAGCACTGATCTTGCTGCCCTTGGCTGGAGAGTGGTCCAAGGGGACAGATCAGCAACAAACATTTCTGTCCCATGCCTGCTGTGGACCTTCATTTCAGGCCTTCCTGCAAGACAGGATTTTGGAGAGTGGGTCCTGGCATTGTTAAAAACCCACCATGGACATTTCTGGGGCAATATGAGCTGCCCCTGAGATCTGCGTGAGCACAGGTTCCTGCAGTGAGGGACCTGGGCAGAAATTTCTGCTTCCTCTGTCTCATAGTTCCTGAATCTACTGCCTCTTGTACATCCCAGATGTTCCTGAACACCAGGGTCCCAGGGCTACAGCACTCCTCTCTCATCTTTAGCCTAAGCACTACAAGGTATTGCCTCACAGTCCCGTTTTGCTTTCATTAGTTGCATGGCCACATGAAAAAATAGTCAGTCAGCCAAAGTGCCATAATTATAGTAGTCTGGTAGGGCTGCCCTAGCCTCGCCTCTCTAAGTGTCATCCAGAGTTAAATCTGCCTCACAGGGTAAACCCACACCACTTTGGAGATGGCTTGCAGAAGCAGTTTCTGTGTCTAAACTGGGGTCAGAGGCAGGTTCAGTTGGAAGGTAAGTGTCCAAGGATGAGCCAGGGCCAGGCTTGGCAATGTGGTGTTTAACTGAGCCTTGGTAGACTTATGAAAATGTCTGAGTGTTTCCTCCAGAGGAACTGACGTGGCCACACGGAGCTTGTGATTTTTAATCCATCTCAACCTGCACTTCGCCTTTCTGTAGTGACTTTTCCATTTTGAGACAGCAGGTCTTCAGGAGTGGCTCTGTACAGAGGGTTTCCTGAGTCTCTCCTTCCCTCTACCCCAAATTATACTCCCTGTCTCAGAAAATACCCGATCCAACTGACACACATTCAATTTAGGCCTAACTTTGACTTGCTTCAAAACAATAAAGACACGACAGACTCTGCATTTCCTTATTATCCTCACACTGAAGTCCTCCAGGTGTTACGCTGCCTTTAATGCAATAAACTTTATAATCCCTACTAACTTCCTAATGAAGAGCTTCTCTCAGCCCCACGTCTTGGCAGCTTTGGTTCCCAGTGCCCATGGTCAGTCACTGTTTTCTGCATCCAGCAAAAGGTTCCAGACTGATGTGCAAGAAATGGGGATGCTTTTGCTATTTTCAAGATGGGTGGTACCTCCTCGCTCATGAGTCAGTGGGAATGCAGCGATTGGGCTGCTCTGTTGTGAATGTTACATGTCAAGTCATTATTTGTCCTCTGTAAAAGAAAATATTTATTCCTTGACAAACCGAGGCAGCCCTTTCCCCTTCCTTTCCTCTTTAACACACTGGATTTTCAAAGCTCTCACTTTTGGAACATTCTATTTCTA